TAACATGAACAGACATTTTAGTCTTAAAGTGTCAATAATTGGCAAGTCTCATTTTCAAGAAAGGATCACATTATACATCATTTTTGCAACGATACTCATCAAACGAGAGCTCAGTGTGGTTCTGTGAAGGGATGTTCTTTTTCAAACTCAACCTCATAAGCTATACAGATTTTCTGAAGCAAGAAACTTTTCACCAACACATGAGATCAATGGCACACGTCGATGGCCAGGGCAGGGCTCTGGCCCTAACTCACCAAAGTCTCCCGTTCTAGATTATCCCCTGCACCTGCCTTAGGAACACTTACTTAGCTCAGGCCTACCTGATGACACACTTCCTTATCCTCCCAACAACCGAGAATAAATGAATGAGCAACAAGCAGCATGAATAGCCTGTAGGTATCCCTGGCTTTACAAACTTGCCACTCCCCCACACCCACATACAGTCATTTTCTGACTTCAACCTGATCAAATGACGTGTACTTAGATGAAGGATGATCCACTGTAGAGTTAGACACAAGCAAAGGAGAGAAAGACAAACTGTTCTACGAAAATCTGAGGAGGGAAGACGAGCAAAGGTTTTCACAAAGGAGGACATCTAGAGCACACACACACACCCCCATCTCACAGAATGACTCAATTGTCACAGTTTATGCTTCTTTCTCTCAAGTTAAAACATTTCCCTGGACAACAAATTACTTCTTAAAACTTTACCAGAAACACTTAAAGAATTAAATGGCAAATAAGTATCATTCTAATCCAAAACAATAAAAAGGAAAGCACACAGGAGCCATACTCTCCCTTGGCCACAGCTGGGCAGAATAATCTGTGAAGGGCCAAGTGCTGACTCTCCCCGCCTCCCCACCACAGGAGGGCTGATTCTCTATCCCACTCAGCACAGTGTACGTTCCCCATCTTTTCTTCTCTCCTGAAAACTGCCCACACTCCTCCTCCCAACCTCAAGCTGAAGGCCAGTCAAGCTACTCACCATGACCTATCTCTTCTCCCTTCTTCTCCCCTTCAAACCCTTACCATCTCCCACTCCCTTCCTTCTCTTCACTCTCTTTCTTCCTGAGGGGCCCCTACTGCTTTTCTTCTTAGTGTCCTCAATTTGGTTCCCAACATCTGCTTTCTCAAAGGTACTGATGCCCTCTTTTACCGTGCTGAAGGACACTGAAGATGGCCTTCTCCTCCACGCTCTTCTCTAGGTTTTTGTGACACTGCTCCCTCTTGGTTTTCACCCCTCCTACTCAGGCTCCTTCACCAGGCTCAATCCACATCACAGCCACTACCTACCTGTCACTCAAGGCTCTTTCCTGGCGCTCTCGCTCTCGCTCTCTCCCTTCTCCCCCTCTCTCCCTTTCCCTCTCTCTCTCTCTCCCCCCTCCTCTCTCCTCCCCCCCCTCTCTCTGCACTATCTCACTTGGTGATTTCACAGGCTCCCACGGGTTCAATTCTCATCTCTGTGAAGATGATTCCCAGATGTATACATCCTGAGGTGAGCTAGTCAGCTAGACACACATGTCCAACTGCCAAACATGCCACAGGCATCTCCAAAGCACCACTCATTATCTTTCTCTCAAACCTTCTGCCCTCGCTAACTTCTCTATTACTGTCAGGATCAGAATACACCTCCGAGTCACCCAGCCAGCAATCTCACTGTCATCCTTGACTCCTGGCTCTTACTCACTCCACACATTCAATACTTGCCCAAATCTTGTCATTTCTACCCTACCAGGCCTTCATCACCCCTCAGCTGGACTACTGGGAACAGCCTTCTTGCTGGCCTCCCTACAAGTCTCTTCTCACCCCACTGCATCCTCAGCTCAGCTGCCAAGGTAATTATCATGGCATTCAAGGGACTCTAGCAGCTCCTGATAGCTCTGGAAACAAATATGAAGTGCTCAGTTTGGCATTTCAAGCTCTTCCAAACCTGGCCGGTCTCCTCATATCTTATTCCACTTCATACACTCCACTAAAATCCAGGTATAGTAGCCTCCTAGAACACCCTCTCCTCTGGCTTTCTTCAAGACTACCACTCAAAGCCCAATTTATGCAGGAAGCACCCCACCCCCACCCCCAAGCTGGTAACGTCTCCCCCTTTCAGATTACCTTTCATCTCCTCTGTATGCAAGGTCTCAAGAATCCTAGTGCATTTTTACACTACTAAACCTTATCATCTCTAGCACCTACATATAATAGTCGGGTATGTATGCTGTCTCCCCCATTAGAAGGTAGGCTCCATGAGGGCAGGGACTGATTTTTCCTGCATGCGCCTAATGCGTGGCACACACTAAGCACGTAAAAACTGACTGCGAACTCAAAACGATGGGCCTTCTCTCTTTGCCAAAGCAACCCCACCTCATGTGTTCTTGATCTCCTCCCCTCCCATCCTCTCCAGCAAAGTGCTCCCACTAGTCTCAAAGTCTTCAATCTCTCCATATCTACTAGTTCCTTCCCTATTGCCTAGAAACATGCCCATGTTCTTCATGCTTAAAAACCCCTCATTAGCTACTACCACCCCCACGGGCTACTATTCCTCTTTCTTTTCATAGCCAAACTCCTTGAAAAGCTGCCTTTTCCTGCCTCCACTTCCTCTCTTCTCACTCCCTTCAAAGCCTTATGTAACCTGGCTTCCAATCTCATCGGCCGACTGAAACAGCCATTCCCAAAGCTGCCAGGGATCTCTTCAATCACTAATCCTCCATCACCTACCACCTCCTAGACATTTCAAAGTAGATGTCCCAAAGACATCCCCAACTCCCTGCATGCAAGCCCAAACCCACTCTTCTTCTGAACTTCCCTGTTTCACCTGAAGCCATTACCAACTTTCCAATCACCCAAGCTTACAATCTCTGTAACTCTTCATTCTCTCTCACTGAGATACACCCTCAGTTGCCAAAATTCGTCATTTCTACCTCCATGAGCAGCTAGGTGGGTGCATAGAGCACCAAGCATGGAGTCAGAGAGAGCCCTCTTCCTCAGTTAAAAGGTAGCCTCAGACACTTACTAGCTGTGTGACCCTGGGCAAGTCATTGAACTCTGTTTGCCTCAGTTTCCTCATCTGTAAAATGATTTGGAGAAGGAAATGGCGATCCCTCCGGTATTTTGCCAAGGAAACCCCCCAATTAGGTCACAAAGAGTTCCCCTCCACACCTCACACCCATCATCTCTCCAACCCCACAGCCACCTTCTTGGACCAGGCCCTCAGCACCTCTCTGATTGCCCTGCCTCGAGTCTCTTCTCTCTCCAATTCATTCTTTACCCATGTTCCGAATGAGTGAAAATCTGACCACATCCCCCCACTGCTCTAACTCGAGGGCTCTCTCATCTCTAGGAACAAACAGAAACTCCTCTGCTTGACCCTGGCTCTACCATCCCCAGCCAAACTGGTCTTCCCTCGTTTCTCACACACAGCCCTCCATCTCTCACCTCCACACCTTTGTACTAGCTGTTCTCCATCCAGAGAATGGATTCCCTTCTCAACTCATCTCACTGAATCCTCAGATTCCTTCACAGGCCACCTCCTACAGACCTCTCCTGATCTGCCCCCTGACAGCTGTTAGGGTCTTGCCCCCCCAAAAAATCACCTTGTTGCCATAGCATGTACACTTTGCAGATACTCATTATGCAAATACCTGCTGCTGCTCCAAGCCAAGTTGCCTGCTCCCAACACTTAGCACACAAAGGGTGCTTAATAAATCCTCCATGACTTTCTCAGTAATTCTCCACTCTTTCTCTCTTCAATTTCTACACTTCTTTTTCCTCCTTCTCTATCTTTACCCTTCCTCTCTGCTTCCAGGGGCACCAAGAAACATCTGCTGATCTAGGCATGGCACTAGTTTTTATCTTGATTTTTAAACACAGGCAATGTGCCTATCCTGGAGTACCACCAAAAATCCCTCTCCCCCCCCCAATTATAATGAAATAAAACATTTCCTTAGTCCGTAAAGGCTCCTTTTCATATCTTACTAAAATAATAACAATACTATCATATTTGCTCCCAATGTTTCACAAGGTGTTTTTACTCTGAAAACGACAGACGGGGTAAGGGGGCTTGGGGAGGGGAAAATGATGCTGACGACTGAGCGCTAATCCAACAAAATGCTCTTGTGGCCTGCACTTCATTATTATTGTAGAAATGACCCATCCCAAGCTACAAAGCAATGGCTCACTTGCCGTAGTTACAAATCTACTCTTTGACTAGGTAATACATTTTTCACAGGAAACAATGTGTGCTTGGTTCTTTGGTTTTTGGTTAGGCTATGAGGTTAAGTGACTTGCCCAGGGTCACACAGCTAGTAAGTGTTATGTGTCTGAGGCCGGATTTGAACTCAGGTCCTCCTGAATCCAGGGCTGGTGCTCTCTCCACAGTGCTGCCCTGCTTGGTTCTTCCTAGGAAAGAAACATGGTTGAACTTAAGGGCAAAGAGCGCCTGTCTTTTTGCCAGTGGTTAACTTTAGAGAAGCATGACCCAGCCGCTGCCTTCTCTCTCCAGCCCAGGTACCTGACCCCCAATCCCTGTTTCCATTCAGTCTTACTGGGGAATAAACAGGAATTCATGGGCACTCCTCAGCCTTGTAGCTGAGAGAGAATCATGCACACATAGCATCCTGGGAAAATAATTCTCAAAAGGAAAACTAGGAAGTACATTAAACTAGGAATATCTGTACTCTCAGCCAAATAGTTCTCCTTCAAGACAGGGGACAGAATTGGATAGCAGTAGAAATGGAAAATGAATGCGTAAATCTGGAATGAATAGCCAGTAGATGCCCTTCAGTTCAATTATTAGAAAGCTGGTCATTTATTTTTATGTATATCACTGAAGAAATTTTCAATGGATTTGTAAAACCTAGTTCTTACATCAGTGTCGACTGAAGAAAGGATTATGTTTGTGATTTGACTTCTTTTTCTTTTTCAGGTTTGATTTCAATTCCATGCTAATTCCAAAAGTTATTTTTAGCAAGTATAAGTAAAAAACTGAGGAAAAAAGAACGCATTACCATTTGGTGCAGTAGGTGGTGACCAGATGCCATAATATTTTGGCAAATATTTCCGTAGCTCTAGGAGAACACTGTCCCCACAATCAGCAGCATAAACCTAGAAAACAAGAGGAAAAAATAAGTTGGTTTTTTTTTTCTTGCTCTCTAATAGATCAAGACCACCATTTAATCCAAGGGAATAAGGTTATGGATCCACAATTCCTTGCCAGCCTTGCCTGTCAGAAACAGCAGCTCTCTTAATCCATGAGCAACCACCCAAGTGTGGTGCAGTGGAAAAGTGTTAGGTTTGGGGTTAGAGGGCACGGGCCCAAACTCCCCAGCTCTGCCACTTTGTGCCTGAGGAACCTCTTAACCTCTTTGTTTCTCAGTTTGGGCAAATGTAAAATGAGGGAGTTCACGAAGACGTCCCAAGAGTCCCTTCCGACTCTCCCTCAATGATCCCATCATCCTCTAAGCACAAAGTCTAATTATTCCTCATTAAATTCCTTGCTAATCACAGTTCACTGGTCAATCAATTAATATTACTTTTGACAACAAGAATATCCAAAAGCACTAATGATGAATTTATGTTTCATTTTCTAAATTATTTTAAAAGATCTGTTTGGAAGGTACTAGAATCAAAAGTAAAAATGTTCTAACAAATCTTAATTACTTACAAATTAGAAGGGAGATGAGGCACACCACACACAGCTGAGTCTCACCTAATAAAACTAAGCACGCTTATTAGCACTCCAAAGTCTCACTAATTCTTTCCTACTCAATTCTGCAATTTGCAAGAGGGAAAAAATGCAGTTGTTCCCCCCCAAAAGCGAGCAGTGTTAATGACAAATGGAACCTCCCAGCTCATTTTTCCCTCTGTCATAGGTCACCTACAGGCTTCCCTGCCGCCCATCTCTCTTCTCTCTATCCAACAATTCTCAAAGCTGCCAAAATCAGCTTCCTGAGGACTCACGTCTGCCCAGGTCACTCTGGGGCTCAAGGCCCTTCAGCAGCTCCTACAGCCCACGTACCCACGTAAGAACTGCTCACATAAGAACCAGCACCCTCTAGCTGCAAGCAAGCCTCCCAGCCACCCGTTACAAACTCCACTGAGTTAGAGTGTCTTACCCCTCCAAGCCTAAAAGGCCTGTCCTTTTCCGGAAGCTGTTAAAATCCACTCTTTCCCTTCACAGTTCAGCCAAGGGGCCATCTGCTCTGTGCAAATAGTTGCTGGTATTCGGACACCCAGTTCAAAGACCTCTCTTCCTCCTCAGATTTTTCTAGATCTCTCTTTCATAGGTTTCCCACCCTACCTTGCATCCTGCCCCTCTGAGTCCAGGCCATATCCCCAGCCCATTAGAGATGGCAGCAGGGTCGCGTCATGACTACAGCACTGGTCCTGAAGTCAGGCATTTACTAACTGAGTGACCCTGGACAAGTCACTCCTCTCTAAAACAGAGATAATAAGAGCACCTCCCTCTCAGGGTTGTGGTGAGGATAGAGTAAGATAGCCCCAGCACAGAGCTTGGCAAACCTTCAAGCTCTATATAAAGTTCAAGCTATCCTGAAAACTCCCGGAAGGCAGGGAGGGCAGGATTGGGCTCATGGTCATTGTGCCTAGTACCCAGCACAGTGCCTGGACCACAGCAGGTACTTCCCAACTGCTTGGTGAACTGAGCCAGGTTACAAAAAAGCACAACTGTGACTTCTGTGTGTCTGCAACATAACAGAGATGGCAAACACCCAAAAGAAGCTATTTTAATTAGGATACTGGGAATACAAACCTACAAAATAAAGGTTCTAAGGGAATGCTGGAGCAGCAGGAAAGATGTGAGCTACTTCCAAAGATCCGAGAGAGGGGCCACAGAATCATGGAAAAAGTGTGGCTCTGGAGTCCATGAACCAAGGTTCCGATCCTGCACACTTAGCTAGGCACTGTGCTAGGTTAAGGAGAAATGCCAAGTTCTAATTGGATTTATCTAATAGCTGCCTTACAGCTAACTTTTCCAAAACCCCAATTTCTTTTGGAAATGTTTTGTCACATAATATTTTGGGTCCAAATTCCATTAATATAGTGATAAAATTGATTTCTAAAAACATTTTAATACTTTCTGTTTTATTTTCAAAACAAAATAATGTTGAGTCCAATATGTATCTTATAACACAGATATAAATCTTCTAAATGTTAACAAGAAAAATGCATGCTATCCAAGAAGCCAGACCCAATTACATTATATATCATATGAATTTCAATCAACTGGGGTGTTTTCTGGGGTTTCTTTTCTTTTAAGCCATAGCATCATAGGAGCCATCACTTCTATCAATGAAATATGACTTACTACTACTAAGTCTGTGCAAATTAATTATAATCACGTTTCAAGATAAGAAGGATAAACAGGCAGCCTGGTACATAGCAAATAAATCGACTAGCTGACTGACTGCCTGACTTGGAGTCAAGAAGACCTGAGTTCAAATCCCGACTCTGACACTTATTAGCTATCAGTTAAGCACCTTAAGCCTCTGTTTTCTCACCCAGCAACATAAGCTGACAGCAGCTGCCTCCCAGGGCTGGCAAGAGGATCAAACAAGCAAGTGCAGAGAATGTGTTTTGCAGACCTTCAAGTGCAGAAACCTGGATGATTACTACTTTTGAAAACCAGGTTCTAACACAGACTAGCTGGCTGCCAGGCAAATAAGGACAGGTCCTTTAACCTATCCGTGCCCCAGCCTACACAAGAATTTCCTCACCTGGGAGGTCCTAATACCTATGCTCTACATGAACTAGTGTACTAGAATATTATGAATATTATAAAACATAAAAATAGAAATTAGGAAAATACTAAATAATGACAAATTTTTAAAGTACTGTTATTTTCTTCATCTTTTTTAATATAAGTTTATTTATTTTCAGTTTTCAATATTTACTTCCACAAGATTTTGAGTTCCAAATTTTCACCCCATCTCACCCCTCCCCCTACCCCAAGATGGCATGCATTCTGAATAGCCCTTCCCCTGGTCTGCCTTCTCTTCTATCTCTCCCCCCTCCCTTCTCTTATCCTCTTCCCCTTCTATTTTCCTATAGGGCAGGACAGACTTCTGTACCCCATTTTCCATATTTCTTATTTCCCAGTAGCACGTGAAAACATTTTTTTAAACATATGTTTTTAAAACTTTAGATTTCAAATCTTCTCCCTTCCTCCCTCCCCACCCACCACCATTGAAAAGGCAAGCAACTCAATATAGGTTATACATGTGCAGTTATGCAAAACACTTCCACAGTAGACATGTTGTGAAAAACTAACTCTATTTCCCTTAATCCTATCCTGCCCTCCCATTTATTCTGTTCTTTCTTTTGACCCTGTCCCTCCTCAGAAGTATCTGCTTCTGATTACCCCCTTTCCCAATCTGCCCTCTTCTCTATCATCCCCCTGCTCCCTTGTCCCCTTCTCCCCCTATTTTCCCGTAGGGTAAGCCAGATTTCCTTACCCAATTGAATTTACATGATATTCCCTTGGTAAGCCAAATCCTATGAGAATAAGATTCACTCATTCCCTCTCATCTTCCTGTTTCCCCTCCACTGTAAGAGCATTTTCTTATCTGGTGTTTTTTTTGTGTGTGTGAAAAAATTTACCCCATCCTTTCTTCTTCTCCAAATATAATCCTCTCTCATCCCTTAATTTTATTCTCCAGATATGACCCCTTAATCTTCAACTCACCCTATGCCCTCTATCTAACTATCTATCTATCTACCTACCTATCTATACATACATACAATTTTTTTCCTCCAACCACCATGATAGTAACAACGGTCTCATGAGTTATAAATATATTTCCATGCAGGAATGTAAACAGTTCAACCTTAATAAGTCTCTTATGATTTCTCTTTCCTGTTTACCTCTTCATGTTCCACTTGAGTCTTGTATTTGAAAGTCAAATTTTCTATTCAGCTCTGGTCTTTTCATCAAGAATGCTTGAAAGTCCTCTATTTCACTGAATGACCATTTTTTCCCCTGAAGGATTATTCTCAGTTTTGCTGGGTAGGTGATTCTTGGTTGTAATCCTATCTCCTTTGCCCTCTGGAATATTATATTCCATGCCCTGCAGTCCTTTAATGTAGATGCTGCTTAATCTTGTGTTTCCACAGTACTTGAATTGTTTCTTTCTGGGAACTCTGGAATTTGGCTACAATATTCCTAGGAGTTTTCCTTTGGGATCTCTTTCAAGAGGAGATCAGTAGATTCTTTCAATTTCTATTTTGCCCTCTGGTTCTACTATATCAGGGCAGTTTTCCTTGATAATTTCTTGAAAGATGATGTCTAGGCTCTTTTTTTGATCATGGCTTTCAGATAGTCCAATAATTTTTAAATTTTCTCTCCTGGATCTATTTTCCAGGTCAGTTGTTTTTCCAATGAGATATTTCACATTCTCTTCTATTTTTTCATTCTTTTGGATTTGTTTTACAGTGTCTTGATTTCTCACAAAGTCACTAGCTTCCAATTGCTCTATTCTAATTTTTAAGGAAGTATTTTCTTCAGTAATCTTTTGGACTTCCTTTTCCATTTGGCCAATTTTGCTTTTTAGGGCATTCTTCTCCTCATTGGTGTTTTGGACATCTTTTGCCATTTGGGTTAGGCTATCTTTTAAGGCATCATTTTCTTCTTCAGTATTTTTTTGGGTCTCCTTTAGCAAGCTGTTGACTTGTTTTTTGATTTTCTTGCATCACTCAATCATTTCTCTTCCCAGTTTTTCCTAAACTTCTCTTACTTGCTTCTCAAAATCCCTTTTGAGCTCTTCCAAGGCCTGGACTGATTCATATTTCTCTTGGAGGCTTTGGATGTAGGAGCTTGACTTTGTTGTCTTCTTCTGGTTGTATATTTTGATCTTCTTTGTCACCAAAGTAAGATAATATAGTCTGACTCTTTTTGCACTGCTTGCTCATGATCCCAGCCAATTACTTGAGTTTTAAACTCTTTGTTAAGGTAGGGGTCTGCTTCCAATGTGGAGAATGTACTGTCCCAAGCTTCGGGGGTTTATATAACTGTTTTCAGAGATACTTGTAGGGACCCATAAATTTTCAGTTCTTGCAAGGTGGTATGGTAAGGGGCGAGGTGTTTACTC